GTCGCCTAGTCGGAGTGTCGAACATTGGTGACTCGATCATCGGAAGCCGTCGATGATTCGGTCGGAGGGCGGAGCATCGAAGGCCGTCGGTCCATTGGGGAAGAAGAGAACTGAGATTCTGAGAGAAGAGACTGTGAGAGTCTGATTCGAAGAAATTGATGGAAATCCCCCGAAACAAAAGAAACAAATCACAAAACAGAAKAAAGGCCTAAAAAATTTTCAATTTTCGAGACTGAGAGACTGGCAATCTCCAGTTTGGTAATCTGGCACTCTAGCAAAGGCCAAAACATTCTCTTTGAAACTTTCAAAGAGAGTTTGAAAGTCTCTTAGACTGTCGAAATTGTTTATTCGATTTTCAAAAAAAAAAAGTAAACAAATATAATATAATATATAATATTATAATATTATTGTATATATATTGGTCAGTTCAGTTAATTGCTGGTTTTTTTAAATGGTTAACTGAARCTATCTGTTTTTTAAGAATATCGAACCGAAATCGAACTGACCGGTTCAGTTAACCAATTTTTTGGTTTAGTTTTTCCGGTTTTTTTGCTCACCCCTAACTACCACCATTTTCAATCAATTCCTAAAAAATGCAGAAAGTGCAAAAGTGTTTATCCACAACCACTTCTGCCTACATTCTATCAATCTCACTTAATCATTAACCCTTTACGTATCATAACAAAAGAAAATTATCCATATTCTAATAATTATTGAAAATCTATTTTTTTTAATTTTAATAATTATTTAAAACATCAATACATATAAATTTAACAATATTGATTCCATAATGTAAATTTAACATTACTGATTCCCCGTACTAAATATGGTGTCATTCACTAGTTTCTTCATGACAAGTAAGGAAACTGCTCCTAATGCACACTGAGATGTGCTATAGGGTGCCTTCCGTGGGGAGCCAATCCGAATTCCTCTATCAAGTGCCAAACACACCCTTATGCTTCTCTCGTTTAACCAAGACCTCAAGTGAGCTTCACCTGATTAGATGATGTAAGATGTGGATCATCTGATTTTTATTCAGTTCATTGGAAGTTTATAAGATGTAGAAACCTTTTATTTTTAAAGATGTGTTATGAGGGACATCTTATAATAAAAGATAASTAGATTCCAAGCCACATTGAGGATAAGACCTATTCATGGGTCAGGCTCGAGTTGAGCATTTACCAAAATTTAAGGCTGTGTTTGGCTTAAAAGAAAATATAAGGAATGGTAGA